CTGTTCACAAAATATTTTCCAGTCCCCTCCCATTCAGGCAATGTATTTTTTCCAGTAACTGCAGCTGCTCAATGCTGATTTTTAGCGACCTATTCTGGTTTTCCACCACATTTCTCCACTCTGCATGTTGTCTAAAAAGCTGGATGGAAAATTTCCTGTATTTGTACAGTTTCATCCTGTAACTTTTTCCCCTGCTATATCATTGCCCATTGTGCCCTATTCCTGCATCACACCCATCATTCTCTGCACACTTGGTCTCGATACTTCCATCATAATTGCTGGAGGCAAAAATATTGAGGTTATGAGGTCTGGTTCTGTGGGAGAAAGGAGAGAGAGCAAATTATTCAGAGAGAAAGGCATTTTATATGTCCACTGAAAGAGTGATAGAGATTGCCCTGAATGAAGTCCAGGGAGAGAGTTCTGGGAGTTCCAGATAAAGACATATATACTGTAAACTAGAACTACCCCGTCTTGCAATTTGGTGTTAGAATTAAGTAAAGATTCGACAGGGAAAACCTCTAGGAATTTCTTCCAGAGAACAGGTAGCAATCCTGTCCGTCTTGTGATATCCCTGGGCAGGAGGAAATTTCTGAGAATTCAGCCAACTAAGAAATGGAAGATGATGATGAATGGAAGAGAAAGGAAGAGAGACATTCCAAAGCAGGGGTCTCTGTCTATTCCAAATGAAAAAGAAACAGAAATGGAAGGAGGATCACCAAAGCTCCCACCTGATGGAATTCAACTTTGCATACACCAGTTTTTGACATCTCAAAACCTCTTCACCACTAAAGCAATAAATATAGAGACATTTAGTAGATGGACCCTGCACTTTAATGTCATGTCCTTGTCTAAAAGATTTATTTTGCACTTTGGTCCAACAAGCCACCTACAATATTGGTTAAGCTGATATTTCCAGAGCTTTTATTGCTTCCTCCCACAGATCAGTCATCTTTCTTTTCTGACACTGACCTGTGCAGGTCAAGTGCTTATCTGATTTCTTCTCTCTCCATAATGCAGGAGAGCACATTACAGGCTCTTAGCTGTAAATACTATACACTGAAGTCACTTGGGGGATTTTCTAGCACTTTGCTATTCCTTGTCTTTATTTTTTTTCCACACAAGTAGTAAACTCACAAATGCTTTCAGATAAAAGTTATATTCCTAGCTTTAGAAACTCCATTCATTCTTTCTGCTGTGTAAAACTATCTGATATTCCACTAGTGACTTTTTGGCCCAGAGAAGAGATTTAAAGAGTAGGCAGAAAGACAAAAATTCTGTTTTTATTCTAAGAACTGCTTGGTAATAAGATTTATTAGACAGGACGACTATTGGTGATTCATCAAAGACAGCTGACTTGATGAAGATGCTGAGCAACATAAACGGCAGAAAATGATGCCTTTGAAAGGAGCTGCTGAATACTCATGGGGCAGCACATGTTCTGGAAGAACAAAGGTCAACAGAAACCATGAGGAAGCAGCTCACATGGGTGGGGAGGAGAGGAGGATGCACCTGGTACCTTCAGGTTGAATGAGGGGAATGAGAAATTAGGGAGTGAAGGAGGAGAAGCTGATGAGGCAGGAAGCAGGAATTCTGAGACCCAATAGATTGTGTAAACATAGAACAGGTGCATTCCACTTTCATGGCTGGGAAAAAAATAACTATTTTCTATTGACCTCAAAAAGGTGCAAGAAAGGCATGTGGGCAGATTTATTTCTATTTATTTCTATGTTCTATATCTATATCAGATAAATCTTCTATTTTCTTTGTCTTCAGTAAAACAACTATGCTAGTAGTACTTAGTCCTTGAAGTTTCTGCTATTAACTAATATGTGAATGCAGAGATGAATTTGTGGAAGAAAAGAGATGGATAGTTGTTTCTGGCTTGAAGCCTCCTTTCACTTCCTGTTACTTAAATAACTTTTCTTTTTGATTTTCAGTAGTCTCAGAAGAGTCATCACTCAGGTGCCTCAAAATCTTTTTGTCAGGCATAATGCAGCTGAGCTGCAAAGATCCAACTGACAACTAGAAGATGTATATCATGTAGAAGATGGTGTCGGAGAGTTTTCTGTATAGAATTGTTGCTTTCTTAAGATAGACCTTGATGTGCAACCTCAATTGAGCTGACATTTCTTTTGCTGAGAGTTGTTAAGTGAATTTATTTCATTTTACGACCTTCCTTGCCACAGATGTTAAATGAGTCACTGCAGCCATTAAATTAGTAACACGGTTGTTAAGTGAATCTGGTTTACCCATTGACCTTACAAAAGGTGATCACATGACCTAGACACACTGCAGCCATCATAAATATGAGTCAGTTGCCAAGCAACTATTAAAAATTTCTGCTACCGGTTCTCCAGGACCTCCAAAATACCACCCCTCAGCTCACTCATTCCCACACACTGCTTTTCTACTGTCACCCTATTAGGGCCCCACAATTTGATTTGCAAAAATCCAGATGCGGGAATTAACAAGATTCAAAAAACATTATTCTCCACCGCTATCAGTCAGTCATCTGTATTCCCCCCCCCCCCCCGAACATATATATTGGCAAAGCCCACAGCTTCTTGCAGGAACTGTGGAAGGAGGAGATAACCTGGTGGACCTCATTGTCTTTAGACAAAGGGAGATGATTGCCGTACTACCTTCCGTATATTTATACCATTGCTAGACAGATACCAGAATCCTTTTTAACAGGATGCTTAATTTTATTTCATTTTTCATACAAGGATCCTAAAAAGACTCCCCTTGTTCTGAAAAGTTTAAGAAAACTTGAAAAAAAAAACCCGCTCCCAAGAAACCCAATAAAAATGGAGGTTTCAACTTCCATTGTCATTAGTTCATCTACTACAACTCTTCTAAGACTGTTTTTTGGGGTATGGCTATCAAAAGATTGTTCATTTCTGACTTAGAAAGTCAGGGAGATGACCTTGAGGGGAAAAAAACAAGAATTATTATCTAAGCAAAGAAAGTTGAAACATTCCTTAAGTCGTTCTGGAAAAGAGAATAGTATTCAGAAGACATTCAGGCAGGTTCATCCCTGTTTCATTGGGCTATAAGAGAAAGGGAAGGTAGTCAGACTTGCAAGATTCAGCTACTGTACTGCAGTGTATCCCAATGAAATATAGGGTAGAGCTAATTCTCCTATGGAGTCAGTTTCTGATCTCATCTACTTGTAGAACTGACAACGGTGTAAACTTTTGTGAATAATATTCTGTTTTATCTAACGCAAACTACATTTGCTATTTTTTCCCTTTTAAGATACGATACTACTTTGTTGTTTTTGCTGCAAAAAAAATAATATCAACATACTGGAAATTGCTATCTCATGGTGTTCAGAATTTCTAATTAAGAACCATTTATTGTACTCTTGCCTTGAACTCCTTGCAGAAAACAAAAATGCATCCACATAATTTATTGTACTAAAGAAAGGACTGATTTTACAAGTTTAGAAAAAACACAGTGACGCCATCATATAAACTGTAATAAGCTACGCCTTGCATAACAAGATTCCATAATTTATGGAATCTTATAAATGGCCACAAAAATATAGAGAAACTTCAACTCTTTGTTGCCAGAGGATGGACATGTAAGGTATTTGCAGCCCTAATCTCACTCACAACCATAAATTATAATAAACAAAACATTAGTGTTATATAGATTCTAAATCACATACAAGTAAGCCATACTTTGTCTGAACATGTGTGAACTCAGCCACTGTAGAAGCGAATCTGTCTTCCAGTTGCTTAAACTGATTTCTTTTTAAGGCTATTTTGCTACTAATTTTCACATTGCTTGAAATTTCATTCAAGTTTTCCCAAGCTTATTTTATTTTTAAAGTGTTTTGCACCTGTATACGTTGCAGCTATCTGACTCTTCACATCTCTCCAGGCCTAAAGAAACTCACAGGAGGAATCCCTAACTATTGGAATGTCATTGAGGAGGCAGCTGGAAAAGTGGTTGTATTCTGAAAGACAATCACAATCACTCTCCTTTGGCAAACTCCAGGCAGCCTTTTTTCTGAACAGGCATACTTTAAAGGGAAGGCTTCATAGGTTAAAAAGAGCCACCCAACTCTTATTTATTTATTTAGTTTGTCAAACATGTACAAAATAACAGGTATAAGTACAAAGATGGACATAACACAGGAATTGGGTATGAATAAATGGGGACAATAGGACAGGGATGGTAAGTACGCTGATGCGCTTCTGCACGCCCCCTTACAGACCTCTTAAGAATGGGGTGAGGTCCACGGTAGACAGTTTAAAGTTAAAGTTATGGGGGTTTGAGGGGTCAGGTACAGCATTTCAGCCATTAACCACTTTGTTGCTGAAGTCATATTTTCTGCAATGGAGTTTGGAGCGATTTACCTTGAGTTGGTATCTATTGTTTGCCCATGTATTATTGTGGTTGAAGCTGAAGTAGTCATTGACAGATAGGACGCTGTAACAGACAATTTTGTATACTACGCTTAGGTCAGACCTTAGTCGGTGTAGTTCTAGGTGGTCCAGGCCCAAAATTTCAAGTCTGGTGGCATAAAATATGAGCAACAATAAAACTCTGTAATTAATTAAGGGCAAATGAAATGACGTGCCTTCCAGATAAACGCAGAGCGGAGGCTTTCCTCTCGGTTAGGAATGAACGGTCCGAGAAGAAAAGTCTGAGGACCCGGAGAACGAGGTCAGGCGCGGCTGCCAGAGAGAGGCGGGGCGATGCTGCCCCTGGCTTTTGGCGCGCTTCTCTGCCAGCCGCGCCCGTCCCGACCCTGCTGTGAAAGGACGGGCGGCGGCGACTCAGAGCATCCCTCGCCTTCTCCCGAGGGAGGGAGACAAGCGCGGCCCCGCAGAATTCCGCCCTTCTTGGAAAGAGCAGCGGCCACTTTGCACGGACTTTCGCGGTCCGACTTTCTTCTCCGCACTCGCGGCTCGCCCTGCAGCCCGAGAGACCGACGCGAGGGCGCCCCCACCCCGGACTGGCGAATTCCGTGCCCTTGAGGCAGGGAGATGGGCCTCGGAGCTGCCCCGGGCGTCCTGGCTCTGGTGGCGCTTTCGACGCTCGGGCGCCTCGCCGGAGCGGGTTGCGTCGAGGAAAGGCGCTGCTGTCCCGGCCGGGATCCGACGTGCACCGCCACCGGCTGGCGCCTGGACAGAACTTATGGGACCTGCTTCTGCGACGAGGCTTGCGAGAAGACCGGCGACTGTTGCCACGACTACGCCCAGGGGTGCCCAGGTAGGCTGGGAAGGGACGGCGCTCAACGAGCGCCTGGAAGCACCTGCCGCCTAGGGAAGTTCCACGCTGGGGTGCTTTGCCTCCAAAACACTCCTGGTGGTAGTGGGGGGCGGGTTTCAGTGGTCCTAGAAGTAGAGGAAAGTATGAGGTTCTCCAGTCCCCCAATGTCTTCGAGGAGAACTAACCTTTGCTTTTGGAATTGGGGAATAAAGAATAAAACGCATCTCTTATACTCCAAATAGGTGGCTACTTCTTGGCAAGTGCAGGGCGGGTTTGCACAACTTTGGAATCTCGACAACAGAACCATTGTCTTCACAAAATGTAATGCCAAGCCGTTATTCCCCAATAGCTTGAATCATAAATTGTGGGTTGTTCTGCTCTAGTCTGTCACGGGAAGTCAGATTTCCCTGCTATTTCCTTTTCCTCCCCACTTATTCCTGCTCCCCAAAGGAAGGAAAGTTTTGTAAAGAAAACTTGATGCAAAACTTAAACCCCACCCACTTTTCCTGACTTTTAATGAATATGGAAATCCAAATGAAGGAAAAAATGGAAGGAAACAGACAAAAGCAAAATTCAATGAGTATCTGGAGGGCAGGTTTAAACTTTAAAAATGAAGGCAATTGATTCCTTTGCAAATTGAATCAAGTTATTAAAGTGTGTAACTATGTATGAATGCAATAACTTTGTTGGATTTGTGATTCCACATGTATATGATATAAACAATTAAATAGCAATAGCAGTTAGACTTATATACCGCTTCATAGGGCTTTCAGCCCTCTCTAAGCGGTTTACAGAGTCAGCATATTGCCCCCACAGTCTGGGTCATTTCACCCACCTCGGAAGGATGGAAGGCTGAATCAACCTTGAGCCAGTGAGATTTGAACCGCTGAACTGCAGATAACAGTCAGCTGAAATGGCCTGCAGTACTGCACCCTAACCATTGCGCCACCTTGGCTCTAAAATCAAGGAGAGAAGCAACTTAGAACTAAAGAGAAATCTCTTGACAGTCAGAACAATTAATTAGAACCATTTGCCTCCAGAAGTTGTGAATGCTCCAACACTGGAAGTTTTTAAGATGATGTTAGATAACCATTTGTCTGAAGTGGTGTAGGATCTCCTGCCTAAGCAGGGGCTTGGACTAGAAGACCTCCAAGGTCCCTTCCAACTCTTATTCTATTTCTAAACTTCACAAGATTTTTATAGACATCATACATATTAATAATCCAATAAAATCCTTTTTTTGGTTCTTCCCTTCTGTGATTTTCTTACTCTCAGTACAATTACTTGATTTGTGAGTTCCACGATGATAGGGCCTATAACAGAGTTCAAAAGACCCACCTGTCTTTTTACCTCTGGCCCTCTCTGTATTTCATGATAGTCAACCTTATAGTCATTTTAAAATAAAAATAGGGAAGATCTAAACATAGTAAGGATTGCAGCCTTAGCTGTAGAATTCAGTCATTGATAATGTAGTATTGAATAGTCAATGTATACGAGAAGTATTGGTGTCTGCATTTTTAAAAGTACATTTTAAAAGCCAGATCCAAGCTACAGAAACAAAAAATCCTTGCCCTCTCATTGGAACAGTTTTTTTTTTTAAAAAAAGAACATAAAGCATGAATTAATTCTTTTTGCATGGCTGGAGAACCAGGAACTGATATAAGAATATGCCTGTCAAATGAGAATCGTAGAGGCAATTTTTGCAGCTCAAAAGGCAAATTGAAGGAACACTTTTCATTTTGTAAAATATTTCTTAATCATGAGTTCCGCTTACACTGTTGGCACAGATATTTAGGGGCTGTCTGCTTTACCAGATCTTGGACTCGTGTGCTAGCTTTTTTTCTGCTCTAATTGGTGCATTGTGAAATAGATTATATGGATTAATCTGTGGAGCACAGAGGAAGGATTCCACGTCAGAGAAGAGCAGAATCTGATTGGCAAGTGGCTTCTCTGAATTCATTCATGCATGGTCATGAAATTATGTAGACAGGATGTGTTTAATCAGGACTGGATCTTAGCTGGAGATAAACAGAAAGCAAAGGTAGAATTTGGGGCAACGGATTTCCTTCTTAATGGTACTATGGGCACATTTCTATGTTACAGTTGCTTGCGCAAGTAACTTAAGCCTCCTTTTTATCTGTTCTTCTCTACTCAAAATTATTTTTTGTGCTGTCCAACTACATATGTCTGAGAATAAACAACAGAGGGGAGTATGGAGCAGATTATTGGTAGCCAACTATCATTGGTTTGGCGACATGGGGATAAGATTGTCACTTTTTGTATGTGTGTTAAAAGACAAAGTTCCAACTTTTCACTTTTATTCCAATTTAAATTTTTTATTCAATGTATTTTAGCCATGCTCTGCATTTGTAAATGTCAGTAAACAATAACCTGGCTTTATGCCTGTTTGCCAAACAAATCCTCAAATTGTTTTTTCTCTTTCTTCCATGGGCTATTGACTTAACTGAATGAAAACTGTCTTGCTTTAGCTGAGGTTGGATTTTTCAGGAGGCATTTCAAGCAGCTGATGAATGTGTGACATCAGAACCGAAAAATGGCACTTAAGGACGCATATGTTTGGGAAATAGCAGATTTAGGATTAGAGTACAAATATGAAGTAGATACCTATATTAACATATGAAAATGTACATACAGGAACTTGACTATAAGGTGATGTTATATAAACTATGCTTAAATCTGAGTGTCATCTTAGGTTTAAAAATGAGTTTTAATCCTGTGATGGCTAACCTTTTTGTTGCTGCGTGCTGAAAGCAGGCACACATCCATAAGGCAATGCACGCGTGCCCCCTGCATGAGCCCCACCCCCATGCATGCACACATGACCACTTGACTCTTAGTCATCCGTGATACATGGCCATGCACTATTCAATATGCAGAAAGGATCTCCTTTCTGGCATCTGCTTTCTTCTAAATTTTCTATAAATTGCAAAAAGTCCAAGAGTTTCTTGCCATGTAGGCTTTTGAGAACCCAGTAACAGCACAAGTAACAACACGTGCTAGCCCTCACTCTAAATTTGATAGCACCTTTATTTGCTTTGAAACAAGAGAAAAAACAAAGTACTTCAATATAACTTGCCTTCTTCCATTTTAGTATCATACTTTATAAAAATGAGATGGGTGGCCATATAAATGGAAGGTAAAGGAAATCATTACAGGCCCATCAACCATGCCAATATTTTATTGCTTGGTGTTGTGGTTCCTTTTCTGTGATTCAAAAAGTGGACTTTTAAGATGATTTGAAAAATTATGTTTTGATATAGCTACTGCTTTTTAGAAACTGCTTATATATTATAGGCGATAGGCTGAAAAAAATGGGATTAGAACATATGAATATGAAACCATAAAATTATTTTATGGGCAAGAATATTTTAAGTTATAGTTTGGGTATTATTTTGGAAGATAGAAAAGGAGGAAAGTTATTGAAGTAGGGGCCCAGATGGATAGGCAGGTGGAAAATTGCTTTGTAAAACAACTTTATTTCCACAATAGTTTTAAAAATGGCAGATCAGTGTTATTAACTTCTGATCATCTTAATCTATTTCTTCAGGAAAAAGCAGGCTGTGTGACCTACTAAATTAAGTTTCGCTAAATGTTTATAGAGAAAAGATAAATCTTTGACAGTAACAAATGACTTCATGAGTTTCGTTGGGGCAGTATTTTTATAATTCTTTTGCAGCTGTTTCATGTGTTGTTGGAGAATGGAATCACTGGAGTGGCTGTGCAGAGCAATGTAAACCCACCTTTCGGATGCGTACGCGTATTGTACAACAAGAGCCAAAAAATGGTGGGGAGCCTTGTCCTCCATTGGAAGAAAAAGCTGGCTGCCTGGAATATGCAACTCATGAAGGGAAAGATTGTGGAGACGGTACACATGCTTCCTATTTCTCTCTCTTACAATTTGCATTCTTATTGAATGGTTTCTAGTGTCTTATAAACTTGATTAATCCATTGTCTTTAATCAGAGTGGTTAATTTTGCCATCTTTGCTAATTCAGTTTTAAAATCCACTCTTCGACAGTGAGCATCCCTGTTTCCTTCCAATACTTAGCATAGTCAATCCTTGCAGCAGTCACCATGTAAAGAATTAAGGCCCCAAAATGTTTTTCAGTTGGTTTCAGAGGTGGGTTGCTACCGGTTTGCACCAGTTCAGGCGAACCGGTAGTGGAAATGGTGACTGGTCACAGAACTGGTAGGGACGGCAGGCTCACTATGCCCCAGAATTGGTTCCCGAGTTGCCGCAGCATGTTTTTTTGACATTTTTAATGTTCTGCGTATACACAGACCTATTTAAAGCAACTGCGCATGCACGCGGAGCACATGTCAGGCATGTGCACAAATCGCACGCATTGGCGCATACATTCTCCCATTGGTCTAGAATTATATTGTAACCAAAAATTTTCACTCATTTTACCATATTTAACAAAGTCATCTTCCAGATTTATCATAAGTAACATTTTTTAAACTTTAGCAATCAGATGGTCATCTCCAGAACATACATTCATGTCAAATTCAGATTTAACTCCTGCAGACACAAAACTTTTTTTTTAATCAAGTTTAAATCTTTCAAAAACTCTTTAACAGGGATATCAAGCTAAAGGTCTGGGGGCTGGATCCGGCCAAAGGGGTGCTTAGATCTGACCCGCAGGGCCACCCTGGAAACAGCCCATTTTTGCTGGCAGAGCTCGGGCTACCAGGCACCCCTGACATGAGTGACATATAGCTGGCTACCCTCACCCTGCCTCCTGAGGTCAAGCACAACGCTGATACGGCCTTCAATGAAATTGAGTTTGACACCCCTGCTCTATAATAATTAAACCAATCACAAACAAATCCTTTATTTACTAATTGTTCTCGTTTCTATCTTCTTCAAATATTAGTAAGCCTCGATATGTCATCCATTTGGAATCTAATAGCATCTCTTTTTGGTGTAATGCTTCATGGATGATAGCAAAAGTCAGTCAATCTTCTTTTATATTTCTACCAGATATGCCCAATTAATTGTTTAATAACATGAGTCTGAAAACCAGGTTTAACTTTTACCTTATTGTACCAAAATAAGCATGTCACCCAAATCCTAAATCAGAACCTTCAAGGTCTAATAAACTTGAGTTTTTAAAAGTACCCAATCTTTTAACCATACCAAACAGACATCATAATATAATCTGTGGTCTAGTAAACCCAGAACTCTTTCTTTAGCATCCTGTAGGAGCTTATATTTAATTTGTAGTTTTTTGTTTTGCAACTTCTACATCCCTGTATTGAGAAGATAAGACTTTGATATTGAATATGCTGAATTCTGTTCTTTAAAAAAGGCAGGATCTCCTACCTTCACACTTATCCCATTGATTGAAACACCTGACTCTAATTTTCCTTCAAATGAATTGATAAGCCTAGAAGTTCATATATTTTTGCCACACAAAAATGTTGATGTTGATAGTTTTTGTTAATGAATAAATGAGCAATATGTTTATTTCCTTAATTAGGTTCTCTAAACTAGGATTATCTAGTTTTAGGACGTGTAGAGAACAATTCATATTTTAGATCATGTTTATGCAGAAATATTGAAAACTCAAATGGATTAACAAAGTTTCAAGTATCACTCTGTACCAAAGGATAGGGCAGGCAGTTTTAACTTTGTCCAGTTTTATATTACTTTATATATCTTCTACTCTCTTAGTTAAATAGCAACACCAGCTTTACAAATTTTATTTTCATAATAATTGTGTTCTTCCTAGTTCCTGCATTCATTACTACTTCTGAATATAGTAAAGAGAGAAAAAAGACAGCTGTACATCCAAGGTGGTCTTTAGAAACAGAAGATTCTAGGTAATTATGGCTAAAATGTAAAACTTTTACCAGTTTCTCTGGAGATCAATTTCTTTGAATTGTTGAATTTGTCTCAGTCAAAACATATATACATACAATCTTGACGTTTAATATACATATAGTTATTTCAAATTGGAAGGAGGTAATTTTGTATAACTATCCATACTAGATGGATTAAAACAGTTTCTGTACTAAAACTATAATTCTGAAAAGTCCTACGTTGCCATTGCTTTTCTTCTTCACACATACTTTTCTTCAGTTAGTTTGGTCTTAACTGCATTATTTGTTGAAAAATAGCACTGCCTATAATAAAGTGAAATTTTTACAAAGCATGAGCAATTTATCTATCTATCTATCTATCTATCTATCTATCTATCTATCTATCTATCTATCTATCTATCTATCTATCAATCATCTATCTATCTATCTACACATACACACAAACACACATACAAAAAGCCATTTTAATATTTATCTAATTTAAAATAAGGTAAGGAATGATACATTTTATATATAAGCTTTAAACACTTTTAAAAAAATCCCGACTTTTTAAAAAACCACGTGTGGGAATTGCAGTTCCCAATGCTAGTAACAAAAGCCCAATGAGCTTATCCCAAGTAGTCATTGGCTTCCTCACTATCTTTCATGTAGTATAGAGATGGGCAAACTGTGGGTGTCTAGCTAAGTATGGTCTTTATTATTTGCAAGTGGTTTTTGAAATTAGACAATATCTTACTATTAATAAAGGCAATCTGTGGCATCCTTATAGTCTGCTGCTGAGTAGGAAAAGGCAAAAAGAAAGCAAAAGAGGTATAGAAAGACAAATGTATTTTATTAAGAAAATGGTTGGCAGATATTATTCAACAAGCAGAAAGTTGCTCACTGATATTCACAGGATTGTGGCATAAGGAGTTTAGTCTCCCCCAATTTTTTTAGTAGTCTTAATTACACATCAGAGTTTGAGCCATAGCGGTTAATGATTACTTTGAACTTTAGGTAAACCATGGTACTTTGTCTGGCTAACAACTTCATAGATTATATATGCTATAATTAACTTTCAGATTTATTCTTGCATTAGTAACAAACTCTTCTCCCTCAAAGGAGTTACTGTGTGGAATTTAAAACAGAATCATTGTCTCCTTATTGCTCTATGGAAACTCGCCAATATGCTCGATGGATGCAGTACCTTCGAGCAGGCTATACAGTATGTGTAATCTGCCAGGAGCCAGCAATGCACAGAGATAACTATCGCTGTCCTGGAGATGGCACGGATACTGATAGGTAACTAAATTTCTTATCTGAATCTCTATTAATAATATAAAGTCCTTAGCATCTATATATTGTTTCATTTATGAATTTGTAGCAAAAATTCTCAAACATATGGTTTATATACATTTTTCCTTCAAAAAATCAGTTTTGTGTGTATAGCTTTATCTTCTCACTTCCCCACCCCAAGCCTGTGCATTTCAATGGTTAGTTAGTACTTTGTTCAAATATTGCTTTGAAGCCTTTTTGTCTTTGTTTGTATTTCTCAACCAGAATAAGCAGTGAGTAGATACACTCAGACTTCATGTAGCCTATTTCCCCAATTTAGACAAGATATTGAGGCCAAAATATCTCTTTGAATCTATTTTCTTATGGTAGTAAGGTTGCTATAACCGTACCCAGTTGACAGAGTTGCATTAGTAAATCATCTCAGTTCTAACTAGAGATAAAGCAAGGGGATCTGGATGTATGGATATGGTTTTGCTAGATAGTATACAGGAAAAAATATAAGAATCTGGTCTTGCATATTACACAGGTAGCCCTCAACTTGCAACTATTTGTTTAGTGACCATTCAAAGTTACAACAGCACTGAAAAGTGACTTAGGGCTGGTTTTCATGCTTATGCCCACTGCAGCATCCCCATGGTCATCTGATCAAAATTCAAGCTCTTGGCAACTGGCAATGTATCTATGACAGTTGCAGTGTCCCAGTACCATGTGATCATCATTTGTAACCTTACCAGCCAGCTTCCAAGAAAGTCAATGGGGGAAGCTAGTTTCACTTAATAATTGCATGACTCACTAAACTGCAGTGATTTGCTTAACAACAGTGGCAAAAATGTTCATAAAATGGGGCAAAACTCACTTAACAGGCTGCCTTGCTTAGCAACAAAAATATGGGGTTTGGTTCTGGTCATAAGTTGAGAACCTCCTGCACATGTTATTTTTAAAACAGAAGTGTAGAAAATAATGGCTGTTTTTTTCATGAAAATCCAAGAATTGTATTCCACCAAATTACAGTTGGAAATTATCTATTTTCCATAACTTGGCTACATCGAGACTTTGCAGCTTCCAATATCTCAGTCTTTATTTTCTTGGCCTTACTGTTCTATCACTTCATTTTACTTTTATCTTCATAATTCTATTAAGACAATTTAGTGGCCACATTTTAATTATTATAGGACATCTTAAGTCATACAAAATATAGTTTGGAATGAATTCCGGGTGAATAGTTTCTGTATTTTCATTGTTAGAGAACAATAGCAACAGCACTTAGATTTATGCACTGCATCAGTGCTTTACAGCCTTCCAAGTGCTTTACAGCATCATCATATTGCCCCCAACAATCTGGGTCTTGATTTTACTGACCTTGGAAGACTGAGTTAACCTTGAGCCTGATGGGATTTGAATTGCCAAATTGCAGGCAGCCAGCAGGAAATTCAGGAAGTACTCTGATTCAGTAAAACTCTAGAAGTCTGCCTTCCCACGTAGATTAGATAAAAAACATAACCAGAGTTTATTGTACTTTATTGTAAGATTACATAAATGGCATTTTGCAAGTCTGAAAGTACAAATCACTGATTTGTCTATTTTACAGGCTGATAACTCAAGGGAGGATCCTTTCTGAATTTCTTTTTTCTCTTTCTCTATGCGGCTAGGGGCTCCTTCCCCATTCTTACCTCTTCATTCCTTAGGCAGCACTTTTCCACCTTTCTCCCAAAGTCATTCCCACATACCATCACAAATATAGTTAGATTAAACATATCCATTAGAAGAGTTCTGCTAATATTGGAATGGGCAGAGACCATTCCTCCTTCCACCTGCATTTCTTCAAAAACTGGAAAACGATCCAGAGAAGCAAGAGAAATATCAATACTTGCTGTGAATGTTTTGCACAAAATTCAGCAGAGATATTTAGAAATATGTGGGAAAATCAAACACCTCTGTAAAGGAGCCACATTTATTTTAATGCTTCTAAGGAAGTTGGAAAGGAGACATGACTTAAATGAGTCACATGAAGATGACATTGTCTTAAGGAGTCATTTTGTTAAAGCATCATCTTTTATCATGATCACATGGAGATCTGTTTTAAAGGGTCGCCATTCCCTTGCCTTTCAAAGTATCTCTTCAGAACCATTTCAAAATGACACATAGGTATACTATGATCCTCTTTCCAAGACCATCTAGATACCAGAATCTTGAGTGAGAAAGAATCTTTATGTTCCAGAAATGTCACTGTTTGCATTCCATCGTATTTGCTACTTGTTTGCAACTCTTTTAGTCAAGAAAATGCTGTTTGCTCTTATGGGGATAATGAAAATTACTGCAGTGTTCTTGTAACTGTGTGCTACCTATGAGAATATTCAAATAGGAAAGTTATTTACACCATTCCCAGCCTTAATAGGATATTAACATTTTATGAAGGAATATCTATACCATTAAGCCAATATATTTCCATTCCATTTTAGGAATGCAATTCTCCACTGGCAAGCAGTTGGAAACCCATCCTGCTATGGAACTTGGAAGAAAATTCAGCAAGTGGAAGAATGTTCATGCCCTCTTGTACATAGTTTTATTTTTACATAGCAGAGTGAATGTATTTACACCTGAAGTATAAAATCTAGCACTGCACCTATGTAAAGCTTTTAAGCATTAAATAAATGAGGAATCAATTTTTGACATTACACGCAGTCTTTTGTATGAATGGATAAAGTTAAATGAACTATATAAAGTTATATTGGTGTTCCCTGAATTCAGTACTAATAATTATTGTGAAAAGCCATTAAAACAAATAAGCTGGATAATCATTTACATAAATCAACTGTAATATGGCATTCATTCTTTTGAAAAGCGTCTGCTTTAGTTATAATTTAAAATAAATATTTGAAGTGAAAGTTATTGAGATTAAACCAAAAGTATGTTTAGTAACATCACAGTTCCATTTCTTTCTTTTTTGGGGGGTGGGGGGGGAGGGAAGAATAAATTTAAATCAGTTTTTGACTCTTGACAACTACCCAGAGTATTTCTGCAGTTGCCTTGGCAAGGTTTTTTTGGTAAGTGATTTGCCATTGCCTTCTTCCTAGAGCCGAGTGAGTGACCCAGCTGGCTTTGTGCCTAAGGCAGGACTAGAACTCATGGTCTCCTGGTTTTGGGGTTGATGTCTTAATTATTGCATCAAAGAGAATCCCTCAGCGTCTTAGAAGGCAAATCTAGGACTAAGCCATGGGGGAATGTCTGTTCCATGTGAATTAAAAAGATAGCAAAGCTCCATACATGGTAGGGGGAAAAATAGAAGAAGATTGCAGAATAGGATACTGTAACTGGTATCCAAAATTGACACTCAGCATTATCATCTAAAAGTCACCATGATGACTATAGTGAAGGACTTCTATCTATGGAATCATTTAAAATTTTGAAGTATAGATATTTAATACTGTTCAGAAAAATAAGCTTTAAAATTTCATTCTCAGTACTGCAAGGATCAATCTGGTGCACTTGTTATTTTTGGCATCAATGCCATTGACAAAGGATTGTGAAGGAAACAAGGATATTACACACCCTCCCCTTGACCAGTTTGCCTTGTTACCTTCTTGGAGGAGGCTTCGTGTTATTCGAAATAGAACATCTAGATTCAGTCTCAGCTTTGTTCCATATAGTATCAACCTTGTGAACTCTCAAGTTTCCTCGTTCCGCTATGTATTCAAAATGGACAGTGATTAAGATATACAGTATGTATATGTACAGAAACACACACACTTTTTTTGAGAGCAGGCATCAGATTTTCATTTTTAATGTTGACCAGTGTGCTCACAGTAAAAAAAATGACAATAAAGGTTATCCTATCTTATCTTATCTGAAGGATAGATTAGCTACTCTTTGCTATTTGAGAATGAATCCCTTACAAGGCTATAAAAACTAATGTTATTACTAGTCAAAGCCTCACATCAAATGACAACCAAATCTGTAAAAAAAAGTTGACTTTCTGAAACAAGACCGATATTGAAATAAATGCCTATATCCATGAGATTCTTCAAAATATTGCTCCCACAAAATACTATACAGCTCCTATGTAGTTCTTTGGACATTGTTGAAAATAGAAGTCGCTGATTAAGAATGGAGAAGTTACTTAATATGAATGATCACAAAAAACTATAATATAGTTAACAAATTAAAAATGCAGCACTCTGAATTTAACTTAAAAACAATATATTTCTTTAAATTACCAGAAGTACAGTCTACATTTCAGTTCAGTGTTGCCCAAAGTTTAAAATTCATAAATGTAGTGGGTTCATATTTGAATAGTTAACTCAATAAAGCATTGCAGGTAGCCAAATTATCCATCTCCGAGACATATAAAAAAGATTATGGAAAGGGTTGCAGAAAAACTCCTATGCCTAAAGCATGATTTCTTGGTTAAAGCATTTCTTGCACTGAAAAATTTAGACTCCGTCCCCTTTGCACAGAATAATGAAGATGTCCTTATTAAACAGATACAACATGAATCTTAAACTTGTCTGCTTAAGACTCTACTTTGCAGTATTTGTATGATCCTGCAAGGTAATAGCCTGAATTTCTTACAAGCTCTCCAGAATGAAAGGTTAAATCAATTTGCTTGTCTTAAGCAGCTTTATTCAGATAACTAGATAATAGACCTGCAATTTAACATCCTATCACCTCTAGGTTTTCAAGAACCAACTATTTTAGGAATTATAATTGCATAAATTGGTTCCTGTTTTATATTCAAGACACCACCTGATAAGGTCATCACATCATCAAAATATAAATAGGTAAGAAATAAGGTGAGAATCTGATGAAAAAATAACTTAGACCAAGCCTAATTTAACTAAAGTTCTCCATCTGTCTTTTAACATAACATTGGTTTTATTACCAAAGTCATAATTCTGAAGAATTTTCATCCAGTTTCCAACTCCAAACTTCCGTACACCACTTTTTAATTTATGGTCATCTTCCCACTTCCATGGCTATAGAAAATTAAAATAAAATATTACAACATGTATCTTTTCAAGCACTTTAATCATTACCCTAATTAGCTGAAAGAACATTCTATTTCTATTAACACTCATTCTTGAAAGCACAGTTAAAGCCTATAGCATTTTACAAGAAATCAGCATTTTAAGAACTGTTTCTTTTATTTCCATTATAAAGAATAAAAAGCTTTATGAAAAGCAAATGATTATTTCAGATGTGAGAATTACAGGGGAATAATAGAAATTACTTTTATTACTTCTAAACACAAACACACACATCTGTTCATATTCATAAAACAGCCACTTGAATATTATAGCAATATTATTTTCTTAAGCTACAGCAATTTCTTGATTTCTGTATTTATCATAAGTCTTACTTCCAATATCAATTTAGTTATTTTCATGATTTTTTAAAATTACAATTTGAATTACAAACCCGTTACACTCTATCAAAATACACTCCATAGAGATTATTTGAAAGGAGCAGGACAATAAAAAGCAGAAGTCTACACTGCTTATATGCATTTAGATTTGCATTATAAAATTGAAACATTAACACTTTTCTGAACAAAGTTTTCTTGCATATGTATTAGGAAATTCAATTTCCTTGGAATATCATATCATTAATGCCAAAGAACTTGGGACATTTGAAATATAAAGCCAATAAAAGCCAGAAACAACCAGTTTCCAAAATCTGAGGGGCCAAAACTACTGACAAGTTTGTATCTTGTGGGTCTGAATGTATGGGAATTATGTAACAGAATAAATTCTTTGTGTTTCCTTTTGCTAACCAGCTGTAATAGAAGTGCCAAATGAGAAAAGGCACCTTGGCTTCTTCACTGATAATTGGCTAGATATACACTATTATGATATATTAGACACAACTTTTGGGCAACATGCAAAGATCACAGTTTCAATAACATGTTGTAGATAATTTGTGGGGTGACTTTAGATCTGTTGGATTTTAATTCCAATAAACCAAGCCAGCAGTTTTCATACATATTAGCTGCGTATTATACAAATTGGATTTCCAGACATTTGGAACAATTGGGAAAGGTTGCCTTCCACCACTGTAATTTCTGTCCTTTATTAAATTTCACTGTTTTAGGTTTTATTTTTATGTTCTACTTCTATATTAGTCTATTTTTTTTTTACTGTGAACCTCCCCCAAAATTTGTATTATCAAGAAATACTTGCCGGTAAAGAAGTAAATAAATATGTATACATGAACACCACTGCACTTCTTCCTATTACATTAGGTTTAACCATTCTCCATGGTCATGCTGGATTGGAAATAGCAAGGGACTTTTATCTTGTAGTATCTTCTATCAAACCATACTTACAGATGGCAGTCTTCCTGGGCAAGTAGGTAAATATTTTAGAAAAATATTTCTTTGGTTAATCTCACCAATATTATTTTATATTAATACATTAAAAACTTTTCTTGTTTATACCTTTTTCTTCCGACAAGGTAGCAGAAATTCATCTTGTAGAGCGTTTGTAGTATTTTGCAGATTTTTTTCACCTGGTTCAGAAAAAAAACACAAATCTTTTTTGAACCCTTTTTAATGGCTAAATGCTATCATATTTTTTGGTGTTTAAGACGCATTCCTCTCCCCCCAAAGTGGGTGGAAATGTCTGTGCATCTTATAGAGCAAATATTGCCGAAACCATACCCACCCACCGCCCCCCATCCTTCGGCCTCTGCCTCCCAGCAATTTGCCTCCTTGCAGCAAAAAAGCAAACAGCTTGGTCAGCTTCAGCAGTCTGATTTAGCATGAGCAGTTGATTGGCCTTTGGATCTGCCTCCCGCCTATCAGCTGTTCCAGGCTGCAGAGATCACCACTGTCCATTGCCGTCTACTGCTGCCTCAGCGTGCCCCTTTTTTGGCCTGTTCCAGGTGGCAGGGATAGGCGGCAATGGGCAGAGGTGACAGGCTACAGAATGATCATTGATACCTTGGTCTATATTTTGCTTTCAGTGAGAAACTATTTTTTAAGTGAAAGGCAGGACTCTGAAGCATAAATTATGGGGAAGGAAATCTGATTCCCCGCATATTTCCAATATATCCATTCTGTTCAGATATACTGAAATTACGTAGAACTTACATTTAAGAGGTTTTTGTTTTATATTTTGGAGCATGGAGGAAATCTGTATCTGCCTTGGTTTCCAAAATGTCCGACCAGGTAAGGAACAGGAATGTTTATGTAATCTATAAGAGAATGAAAGAAAGGAGATATGATAGAGAACATCTATATGGCTGGTGAAACTTTTCTCCCCTTACACAATACCATTCTGTTAAATTCCACTATCCACCTACTTTTCTAACATACAATACATAAAAAAATTAACCAGGAAGAGAGTCATTTATTTATCAGAATATGTTAAAGAAGAAAAGAAAAAACTGCAACCCCCCCAAGATAAGTACTCATATTGATATAAAACTAGCAAATTTCAGGAAAAGTCATACTTTAGCAGGGTGTTTGGTGTGTTTTTCAAATGATTTTTATTGTCTGTTTCAATTGTACTGTTGCATTGTATCGGTACCATTATGTTTTCCAAACTGTTTGTTTTCACCTCTTTTGTAGCTTCCTGTAAAACAGCAACATTTACTTAAGGAATATTACTTTTCATATCTTCTCCAGTTGTCCTAAAACACTTTTTACCATATACTGTTAGAAAGGATTTAAAACACAAGATTAATAAAAATGTAAAATGAAGAGAGCAATAGACTTAACAGCTAAAGTTGTGTAATGCAATAAATAAAGTAATGTAATGTAATAAAGTAAAGTAATGTAATAAAGTTCAGAAGAGGTGTTTTCACCCCAGGATGATGTAATGAATCAGAGACAAGTCCTGTGTTCCTGCTACTACCTCAATAAGCCCTTGTAAATCA